ACTGCAGACAAAAAACAGGGCAAGCTGCCTCTGGCCGTCCGAACCCCACGCAAGTAAAATGCACACTGCAGACAAAAAACGGGGCTCATTCCCGAGCAAAACACCTGCCCATGGTAATTCAAATAGAACACCCATGTGTTCTACTTGAATAGAACACCCATATGTGCGTACTATTCAAATAGAACATGCATGCACACTATTTGGATTTCCGGGGGCGACTTTGAGAAATAGACTTTTCCAGGGAAAGTTGAATGGTACATACGTGCATTTTGTTTGGGGGAAGACTGTAAGCAGATACCAGACGGGCCGGAACGACTTATATCCCTACCCAGTCCTGGTTGAAGTGGAATCGAACGAGCCTTGTCGTGCGGGAACTTTGGATGCCAAGCTCAAGCATTCTACTACTAGCCCCCACAGCCAGAGGTTCTACCCATCTCTGAGGGTGACTGGGACCGAATAGCAGGTATAAGCACCAAGTCTAGCAGGCTAGCGCCCACGGACAAGTCCGGACTGTCCTATCTTACCCAATGCTAGACAGATCCCGGACAAGCCGGAGCAACTTATATCCCTGCCCAGCCCTACTGGTTCCTACTACAGCTTGTACTAGACCCCCCCGACCCTCCCTAGCATGGCATTGGTATGTGTGTATACCGTGTGTGTGTGCCCGTAGGCTTTGTGTATACCCGTATGTGTGCCCGAAGGCTGGATGTGTGCCCATTAGCTGTGTATGTGCCCGTAGGCTAGATGTATTTTTCCTTAAGCTATGTGTATGTATTTTTCCATAAGCTGCTATGTGTATGTATTTTTCCGTCAGCTATGTGTATGTGCCCGTAGGCTGTGTATATGTGCAGTTCTGTTTTATGATAGGCCGATCTGTGCTAGAAACCCACACCAAAGCCCCAAGACAGACTTGAACCCATGTTCATCATCGTGTGACAGCTATGCTCAACCATGTGTGCTACAATCTGAAACGGTACCAATGTGCGATATGCCAGACTGGGTGCCCTTCTTACTTACCTCTCAACCTCCATGGTTTCCCCCCCATGTCATGCTGGTGATAATGATGGGAGAGAACGACATAGAAACACAGCATGGCCAGCAAAACCAGTGTCGCCCTCAGGCATCACAGAGGCAGGCAACTGTCTTGTAACAAGAAATAAACTTTACATGTTTAGGTTAAGATGATAAGAACTACTGAGAAGCGATTGTAACTCGAAAAAGAAGACGAAACAAAAGGAAATGCTAGCCTGACCACCAAAGACAGCGAGTATCTCCCAAGTAAAAAGGGCATGAGATCAGGTTGGCAAGTGAGTGAAGAAGGGACTTGGGAAGGCCCAGGGCAACCATTGTCATGCAACTCATGCCAGTGTAAGTTTTCAAAAACTTATGGAAATCCCAGAGCTAACACATGGGTAGAGATCCTAATGGTTATATTAGCCTCACAGCCTAGCTGGAAAATAAACAGCGAAGACCACAGAGCTGACCTCATATCCATTAACAATGAGTGGCATTCTGCGTTCAAAAGGAAAAATGAAAAAAAAAGAGTACCACTTTGTGTTAGAAGAGGGAGCACTTCAGGTGACGCTCTCACCCTCGCCCTGCAAATCTCCCATTGGGGGCAGCTCATCACATGGAGGAGCTCTTGGAGGGACCACACAGGGATGCGGTAGCCAGTGTGGAGAGTTTGTTATCCACGACATCATGTCCATAAATAGATCAAACTGTGCCATCACGAGGCAAACTGATATGGATGCCATCGATCGCTACACCATCCTTGTGGAAACGGAGTGACGTGTAATCCTTCCGCTTATCAGATTTTACCTCACAATCAGGGTTGCATCCCCGCCGACCGGTCGGGCCGACCGCCGACCATATTGTACCGACCGATCAGGGCCGACCGGTCGGCGGTAGCCAACGGCTCAGAAAACAGTCTTCCTCTGATTGTTTTTTTGTTCTGACTTCGGGTCTGTACTGCGCTTGCTGAGTACAGCCCAAATCCGCTGAGAAACTTTGGTTTCGGGGTGGGGGGGGTTGGGGGGGTGGGTGGGGGAAGGGATGTGTCTGGGGGGGATGGGGGGTCTTCAGGGGGGTTTAGGAGGTTTTAGGACCTTATTAATATTTATTTCAAACCCCCTGCGGGTTATCCGAGAGGGCCCTCCACACAATCAGCAAGGGCCACGTTGCCATGAACGAGGAGGTAGTAGTCATTTCCATGCTGAAGGTATGGCACGCCAAGTATATATGCTGTTGATTCACTTTAAGGTCCGTGTTTCAGCAGTTATGGGACCACTGAGCACGTGAGTTTCTGGGCAATAGCAGGCCAACTCACCACGTGCTTTTCAGGGCTTCCCTCCACTAAAAATGTGCAAAACTAGAATGAATCTTCTCCTAGAACATGGAACCGTACGCCGCCATATGTTTTGTCTTTTGTGCAAGTGGTGACGAGTGAAGCAAGGCCCTTAGGGCCACTTGTCGTAGGGAAAGGAAACAAAAGAAAGAGGGGAATGAATCTTCTGCTAGAACATGGAACACATACACCGCCATATGTTTTGTCTTTGGTGCTGGTGACGAGTGGAGCAAGGCCCTTAGGGCCACTGCTCGTAGGAAAAAGAAACAAAACAAAAGAAAAAGAAACAAAAGTAAGTAGTTGTAACTTGTAACCCATAACTGCTCGAAAGCAGACCTGACTTCGGATCCAGAACATATATTGCTGGCCTGCTCTTCTTTCATACGAAATTTGCTGAATGCATATGTACTGCCGGGGTCCTCCGCGAAAAAGACTATTCAAGAAGGAATACGTGGGCCCTATTTTTTTTCTGTGGGGAGGTGAACCATTGGCTACCTCAGCCAGCCTTCTCCAATTTTTTTTGTATACCCTATTTAGTGGGGCGCGTCGCATCACGTGCGCGTGCATGCTTACACGTGCGTTATGCGCCGCACATGCGGAGCTCGCGCGCACGCGATACACCGCAGGTATGGGTTGGAGTATAAGCGGAGTATAGGGGTGATATAGGGGATATTGGGGGTGTTAATAAGGATGTTGGGGGCGGTTCGGGAGTGTTAGGTTGGTGCATGTGGGTATTGGGGGCCGCTATGGGGGTGTGGGTGGGGTTATTAGGGGTTCTGGATCCCAAAAAAAAAATGGGTGGGGTTATTAGGGGTTCTGGATCCCAAAAAAAAAAAAAAAAAAAAAGTGCGGGGTGCCGATGATCCCCGACTGCTGGTGCCGACCAGCCGATCGGTCGGCGGGTCGGCAGCCGACCAGTCAAGGGCCGCCGACCGTCGGGGTGTGCAACCCTGCTCACAATTGCATAATTCATGTGCGATGACAGGTGTACACTACTGATGGATGATTCCCCTGTGGACAAACAGGGGTCTGCAACACCAACAGCATGCCAGACTTCATGGCAGGCAAAGGGAACCAGCTGGACGTTCAGAAAAGATAGACATGGAAGATAATGAAATGTTGAGATGAGTACCTGCACGCATTTGACTTCACGGTGGTCGATTCCCCGTGCATACGCCCACAGCATATCGCCAGTCTTCACTCCAAACTCACGCTGCAGAGCCTCCTGAAATGTAGGACAGCCGCCAGCCAAAAACGTGCATTTTTGTGAGCTGAATGGGACACAGAACTTGAAAGCCGGGACCTTGCTGGGTGCTATAACATCAATGGTTTTCACATTTTCGGGAGAGGGACATAGAGAAGTCGTGAACGAGATCTGCAGCAGGCGCTCAATTCACGAAACTGAGTGCCATCACATGAAGAGCGCTCCTTACCTGACAAACTGCATGCAATACACCATTGCTACCTCTCCTCCTCCGTTTCTGCAAGGCGGTCGGTATCTCTGGACCCAAAAGCAAGTCTGACTAGAGAGAGTCAAACTCCGGATAACAACCATCAAGACTTTGAAGTACGGTGTTCAAACTCCTGCTACCTTCTTCCCCCCGATACAACGTACGGTCATTATAGCTGTATTTGAGGCAACTTTCAGTCTAGATACAGCTATAATGACCGTACGTTGTACTCGGGAGAAAAAGGTAGTGGTTGACGCAACGGGGTAACAAACACTGACATTGGTCCTTTTGTGTAGAGGCCAGTGATTCCTGATAAAATCTCCAAAATCAACAATTTTCAATTTTGGGCCTTGCTCAGGTGGTACACCCCTGAACTGTTGAAATCAGTGCTGGGCCGGCAACCGGCCGGTTGAGCTACCCGGTCCAACCGGAGCCGGACCTGCCCGGGGGGGGTGAACAGGGAAACCGGTTTTGAAAGATAAGTGCCGAAATTTTTTATTTTTATTTTTTTAATTTTTTTGGGCAGATTTCGACTGCGCTCTTCAAGAGCTGTCCGAATCCGCAATAAAATTTTCAAGGTACAATATTTTTCAGGGGGCTTCCAGAGGGGGGCAGGGGGTTATTATTGACATATTCAGGCAACTATGGCTTCCTCGGGGAGGGGTCAAGTAAGCAAGTTCACTTATCCGAACCCCCCGTGGCTGGAGCACTTCGTGGAGTATGTCATTTGATATTGATACCCCACGAGCTGAACCAGATATGATGAGAGGAGGTCCTTGCCCGAAATTATAGCTCTTCCAGAGTATATTTCGACAGCAGAAAAGTTATGGTTCCAGCTTTCAGCTCGTGGAGGCAGAGCGTTTTCTGTTTGTTGGTTTCTACATAAGGTGAGTTGTCAGTCCGGAAGTATCTTGCCCGCCAGTCTGTCCAGATACATGTAGTGGAGCAAGGTCCATTCGAGATAGATAGAGAGAAGAATATAGCTTAGGTCCATTCTTGGGACTGCACCTCGGACGGCTCTGAAATCACAATTCCAAAATCCGAACCCATAACTTTTTCCACAGATGGCAAGGACGTCGCAGAAGGATATAATATCAGCAGAGTCTCATCAGAAGCATAGTGTTCCCCTCATGGCTGAGGGTGAAAGAGCATCAGATGTTGCCAACGGCAACTGGTCCATTGGACCACAAGATGACAAATTGGAGAAGGGGCCTACCCGACCCACATCTTAGGAAAAATGCGTGGCTGTTCTCCGCTGCTGATCTGCACAGATCAGCGGCGGATATCCTCTGCCCGTTTTTCTTAAGAAATGGGCTCCTGGCCGATCTTTGCCGCTGATCTGCGACCATCGGCGGCCAAGATTGGCCACTTTCTGGACTTGAAAAATCCGGGCCTACAGGACCCAGTTTCGAAATTGCGGGGCAGGGCCCGCCCCCACGAGGCCTCGGGAACACATACGCGCTGGCAAAAAAAAAAATTCAGCCCCCAGCGAAAATGCGCTGGGGGCAACCGGGAGGTAACCGGCCCAGGCCACTGGCCGGTCCAACCGGGAGGACCGCGAATGGGGTAGGGGTCCCCGGTCCATCCGGGGACCAGCCCTGGTTGAAATACAGACTCAAGTTCGAACCCAGATACCTTCTGATGAAAAGAAAAAGACCATTCTGAATTCCCTGGGGCCGGTCAGTTCAATGATGATATCTAAAGGTTGTCGGCCTTTTTCAAAAAGAAAAAACAAAAAACAAATTTGGACCCCGAAGGAGCCAATCGACAAATTCTGGACCCCAGGTGACAATTAGGCACTAAGAGACAGAAACACTTCGAGACACTTAAGTGAATTTGAGAAACTTGGAGACACTTGGAAACACGGAAACACTTAGCGACACTGACATACTCAGAGACACTTAGAAACAGACACTAAGAGACACTTAGAAACACTTAGAGACACTTAGAGAAACTTGTAAACACATAAAGACACTAAACTCAGACACATGACCCTAAGAGACACTCAGAGACACTCAGAGACAAAGGCACTAACAGACACAAATTTCTTTTCTTCTCGCTTACAGGACCCAATTGACCAATTTTGGAACCCAGATATCTAATGGTCGATAGCCCTTCTCCGAGTGCCTTGACAAAATCCATGATTATGTATATACTATATAGACAAGTTCCTTTTCTTTTTTTTTTTTTTTTTTTTTTTAACACACACCCCTGTCAGTGTTTGTGGTGCTGATAAGAGCAGACACCGCTAACACCTGGGGGGGGGCTCCATCTCTTGGTGGGGAGCGACACCTGCTGGGAAACGGGTCCAGCGTCCCTTACATGAGCAGAATTCGAACCGGACCAGAAAAACAGAGATGTCGAATATTCCTGCCAGCATTGATTACCCTGGGATCCAGGGGATTGACTGAGCAGGATGTTGGGGGGGGGGAGAACCTCTTCACCCTGCACCTGGCGCCAGACACCTGCTGCTGCACCCTGGTTCCCCCCAACCCCTGTTTGAGATATAACTTCTATTGATGCTGCTGGCCCACTCTTAACCTATTGCATGTCTACCCCCGGGTCCAGCATTCCTCTTAAGCAAAAAACTGAGAGGAGTTGCGGAAGAACAGGTAGACCATTCCTGACTGATACTAGGGCCTGCCACTAAACAGTCCCTCCACCAGACAACTCATGCCATCCTGACATGCCTGCCCCATGTCTGCCCAACGTTGTCCCTGCTATCCGCTACCAACCTGCTCTGTGCCTCCCCCACATTGCCCATTCAATCCGCTCCATAACATTGCATGTCTACCATGGCCAGGTTGTGAGGCGGGAAAGGGTCGGGAAAATCTGATGCCGGTCGCAGTGGAATAGCCTGGCCAACAGTAGTCCAATCCTTAAAGCAGATCCGGTAGTCTCTCTTGAACTCCCCCAGGTTGCATGCCTGGGTGGCCTTTCCGTCCCAACTTATACCTGTGATCCATCCCCCTTCCTTGCTGCCCAACCAGTCCCCGGAGAATTGGTGTATTCCGCGTGTTATGTCCTGTGGTGTTTGGAACAAGTCAAGTTGATTTTTAACTTTCTGCCACTGTACCGTCAGTTCTTGCTGGATATATTGCTTTATCATATCTGTAACCTCTTACCCCTCTATGCGGACATCCTCCATTGTGTGGATACAGCGCTTTCTCCAGAGGGCCCACACCACTGCCCTTCTCCCTGTCTAGAACATATTGTTCTCAAAAGTGTTGTCGGTGGGGGAGGACCATGCTTCACATAGTATGGCTCTCCAATCCCATGGCCAGTTGGAGTCCGTGGCCAGCAAAGTCCAAATTTTGTCCCACCATTGCCACGTGAGAACCGCCCCTGGGCACTGCATAAAAATGTGTTCTATCGTTTCCGGGATTTTGCGGGAAGGGAAAGCAGTGTGGCACGATTTGCACCACGGCAGTGCCTGTCCCTTCTGTTCCAGCTGTGTGCGCTCTATCAGCCAATTATTTGTGGGCAGGCAGCGGTGCTCGATCTGCCATTGTAGCGAGGCCATTTTTGCTGGCCTGGATCTTGTGGCGGTGAACCATCGGATGGGGTCTCCACCGAGCTTTCACGGTTTCTTTTATGTTCACCTTCGGTCGCAGCAAGCGGTATGTGGCCTTTACTGTTAAGGAGGACAGCTTCCGATTCTCCCCCGTTCTGGATTTACGCGGAGGAGCCCACTGCCATTCCACGGGGTCGAACGGGAGTTCTGTCACTGGGGTCTTTGGCTGGAACGCAATCCACTTGTCTTTTTCCGAGAGTACCCGAATCCTGAGCAGTTCCATGTTTCGCTGCCATATCGTTGCTTCCGGGCTGTATCGAACGAGAATATTGTCGCTATCTATGTGGAAGAGGTTGATCAATGTTTCGTCAGATCGCACCTCTACCACACTGCCCACACTTTCCGGATCCCCTGGGACCGCCACCCAATCCCCCTCCTTTAGCTTCGGCCCTCTGCGTAGGATGCACACCCAGTCCAGGGGTACTGCGAAGATCAGCAGATCCAAATTTTCCTCAACCTTATGACAATGTTTTAATATAGTCTTTAGCTGCGGTGTCGTTTTCCAGTTCCCCTTTTCAATGTCCCATATGTCCTTTATTCTAATCATGCCTTTTTGACCCAGCTGTTCCACGAAGTGTCTGAACTACAGTACACCCTACTGTGTCTGTCGGTCACCCACCTGTTCCCGAAAAGAGGTTGGCGCATCACCTCCTCCCACCTTGTCGGCGGAGGTGTGTTAGGTAGTGGGAGGCTACGCCAACTTTAGGACTCGCACCCAGAAGTCGTCCTTGATCAGATCCGAGCGGGCCATGTCTCGGGACGGAGCTTGGTCCGTCCGATGGCCCGTTCGAGGGCACCTTGGCACTGTCCAAAAACGGTCCTCCAACCAGGTCAGCGGGTTAACCCCCTGCGGTGCTTGTGGGGCGAGACGCGCAATCTGTTCCAACGCCAAGGCCTGCCAAGGAAGATGCTGGGCGAAGAGCAGTCTCCTCACCCATTGGACGGCCAATGTTGCAATCTGGGTCTCCAGGTCCAAGACCCCCAGGCCCCCTCTGTCTTTAGGTTGGATTACCGATGCCCAAGCTACCCTGCTGATCACATTCGGAAGCTCGCCGTTGCCTCTCCACAGCAGGGTCGTTAGTTGCCTCTTCAAAAACCTGACGGCGTCCTTACTAAGGGCCCAAGTTGCAGATCTGTACCAAAGGGCCGCCAGCACAACACTGTTGATCGCAAGCGCCCTACCAATAAGAGAGGTATGTC